TAATTAAAAGATATTACCATTAGTAAGCTAATTCATGATATATTATGTACCGACAGATCAAGTATGGAAACAATCAGAAATCCTATATCATCAACTAAACGTGATGTGAGGTGACGTGATTATGATTTTTAACGTAGCTTAAACAATTTTTCAGTCATATCAATATGATGCCTGCAGTGTGGCAGTTTATAGTGATGTCTAGCACTGGGGCATCATTCCGCAGACATGTAGCATGATGTCCCACCCAGTCACATTATCCTGACACCAGTCCGACCGACCCTAACACTAACCTCTTAATGCTGAGCGCCAAGCGAAGCAGCTCTTAGTACCATTTTTGTAAGTCTTTGGTATGACTTGATCGGGGATCGAACCCACGACTTCCCGCATATTAACTAAATGTGAAATTCTGATTCGAACATATTTTTAAATAGGATATACAATTTTCATGTAGAGTGTTTCAAAATGTACTTATTATATTTATTTGTAGATAGTAAAGTCAACTGATTCGTTATATTCGTTAGAACACACATACACACATACACACACATACACACACACACACACACACACATATATATATATATATATATATATATATATATATATATATATATATATATATATATATATATATATATATATATATATATATATATGTGTGTGTGTGTGTGTGTGTTCTAACAAATATATATTATTCTCTAGGCACAATCATTGTCGACCACCTTGTACTGGTCTGTCTGTTTCTCACATCCAAAAGAATAGAAAACGATCCAAGATTTTTTCTTGTTGCTCGACAAATCATTGAAAACAAGATGACCTGACATTGCTCTATTAATCATACCAGACTGCGTACAAGTAGGGTAAGGTATCTATAAAGCCATAAGTATCTCCTATAGACTCGTTTTTTCTCTCCTTTTTGTCTTCTATGAAGATGTTTCCTCTTCTTATCAACCTTGATCTTCAGAGAGAGAGAGAGAGAGAGAGAGAGAGAGAGAGAGAGAGAGAGAGAGAGAGAGAGAGAGAGAGAGAGAGAGAGAGAGAGAGAGAGAGAGAGAGAGAGAGAGAGAGAGAGTATAAGCAATTGATTACTATGTTGAATGGTTCATTAAATGAAATATCAGCTAATGCCACATTCCGGGCTTTGTCAGTCAATGACTTGACCAATATTAAACATAAATTAGGATGCGTTTTGTGCTACACTTGCTTCATTTTATCATTTTCAAGCAATCAGTTGAGTACATTTTTTTCTTTGACATACATCATATTATATTTCTAAAATTCCTCATTCTTTACAATGGTTTAATAGACTGATGGACTGCACTCACTATAGAGTTTTCATGTCCATCATATCATCAATTACCAGATACATGTAACTATGTGTATAAACAATTATTATACGATATATCAGGCATATATTACTAATATATTACACCATCAACATCATAGAACGTAAAACCATGGACCCTCAATAAATATTGAAAAGTACCTGCATGCTTGATGTCATGTGGAATTTTATTTGATATTCTTTAAATAGTATCCCACTGTGAATTTTCGATCAGAAAAAATTGAAAACGGGGCTTTGCAATGTGAACAGAAAAACAAAGCTATATTATTTTTCTTCTTACTGATGCAAACAAAATGATGTAAAGCTCTTAAATTTTCAATTATTTTAGTGTTTCAGTTAAGAACTTTTGTTTTTGTTTAAACATACAATTATATAACTTTGTAATGTAATGAAATATGTAAGACTGTCGCGAATATTTTGGTTTTGGCTTCAATTGTGTGCACAGAATTTGAGATTTTAAGACTATACACCGGCACCCTATCCTTTGAGTACTACTGACAGGGCTCAGTTCACAATTGTTATATTTATAAACTTTCCCTGTTTATTTTATGCTAGCCTGTGAAATAGTAGATGTTTCAAGAAAAACATAAATATTAATTTTTCGCTGTAGTTGATATATAAATGTAATTGCTTGGACTGAATGAATATCCTATTTCATTAAGTGTATAAAGAAAATCTCAGTATTTTCGCCAGTAGTGACATG